ACGTGGATTTCTTAGTAATTTACTGACTCTTATATACCCTTATTCAAGCTTTTTTTCTTTTCTTTTTTTTTCTGAAATGGGAGCAATGGTCATTCGGTAACATCCAAGAGGAGATAAAACACAATACCAAGTGTTTTGAAATGCACTTCTGTGCTTCTTTGTTAATTCTGTGTACCTTATTCTAATCCTGTAAAGCAGATTCTGATCTGATTTATAGTTAAGTTTATAACCTAAGAAGTGAGTAGATTTTCCAGTATTAAGTGTCACTAATACGTCTTTCAGATGGGTAGTAGTTAAAAACAGAAAGGCAAGCCAAGTAAACGGCCCTTCTGGTTAGTCCTTTAGAAACGCTGGCTCTGATAAATGACTGGTGTGATTATAATTCATAAAACCTTTACGTTTGTTAATGCTTATTCCTTGAACTAGGATGTTTGAAGGGGCTTTGAAAGGTCATTTAGCCCTACTCACCATCTCTGACCAAAAAAATACAATGAAATAACTGCAGACATGCTGCTTTTTAGACTTTCTGAAAGCAGAGTTCACAATCTCCCTCAGAAATACAGTTCGGTTTTTTAACAACTCTCATTGTAGAAAAGGTCATTTTAATACCTAACCGGAGTCCCAGTTGCTGTAATAAAAGGCCATGTCCTCCTCTTCAGTTCCTATTAGGGATGGCGAAGACTTGGTTACTAGCTTCATCATAAATGAATGGTCATTGAGCACCTACTGTGGGTCTAGTCTCTTCTTATAACAACATTTTATGCATTAAAGATCACTACAAAGTCACTTTATCACTCTCTTTTCTCCAGGCCAAATGAACTCATAAACATATTCTCTCCAAGGTCCTAGTTTACAAGCCTCTATTAATCTCTGGGGCCTTTCTCTGCAAATGCCCCACACCCCTTCCAGCAATGAGCACATTCCTCAATAGTTCTGACTAGTTTGGAATTCAAGAGATTTCTCAATTATGTTTGTTTTGCTTTTAAGCTATAGATTATACACAACATTATTATTATTTTATTTAACCACATGATGGATCCCTCCAAGCTTTGCCTTAAGCTTTTGTGACCCTTGGATAGAAGAAAATAGGGCTGAAGGAGATAGGAAAGATATGCAAAGCTTCTGTTTATGAGACATAAAATCAGAGAAAATTATCTTGTGTTCACAAAAGGCAGAATAGCCTGCCCTGTCACGAGGTATCAACACTTTTGTTCAAAATCACTTTGAACAAACCAGCCAGCAATGCTGTGTATGTGAGAGAGCGGAAGGGTCTAAATTAACATCTATATATATAAATGCAAATGGCAGGGAGTCTTTGCAGCAGAGGCTCTAAAATCAACCCAAGAATGTGGGTCCTTTAGTACTTCTCTTTATATGGTGTGAGGCCAGGCAAGCAATCAGGGAATAGTTGTGCTAGAGGCCTGGTGGGGATGGGAAGATGTTTCAATGACCAATACGGAGGGCCTCTTACCAGCAGGGGTCCACCTAGTAGGTACGTTAATTACAATGGAATTTGGAGAGTATAACAATGCAGCGAAAAACAGCCTGAGCACAGCAATGGACATGGAAAAGGCTGTGAGGCTCCCAAAGCTGACCACACTATGTGGTCATGTTGCTAGACTGATTCTCCTGGGAAGGAACGGCAGTGGCTTCCAATGTTTTGACAAGAGTTGCATTGTGTGTTTGTGTGCATGCATGAACGAACACATGAATGTGATGATCTTCGTGGACATGTCCCAAGTGTACATGTGCTCATACACAAACATATACACACGTTTCTCCCTTCTCCATGAAGCCAAAGTGGAAAATGCAGAACTAGACTTAAGATCCTTTTGGGGTCAGTCTTGAGCACACATGAAGAGAGCGTCCGCTACGACTTGTGTAAACACCCAGAAATTCTTACACAGAAAAGCTATTCTTCCTCTCTGGAAAGAAAGATTAAAAGACAGTGAGACCAAGGGCAAAAAGAGAAACAAGAAAGAGGTGAAGTAAAAGTGGGTAGACAGAGAAAAGAAGAAAGAAAAACGAAGAAAAAGAAGAAAGAAACACAGTGGCCCAACTTTAGAAGAATTTGAGCTCTGGGTAAAGACGACCAATTAAATCCCTTGAGAGATAAACATGTGGCTTTCAGGATTTGGGGGCCCTGGTGGCACAGTAGTTAAGAGCTACAGCTGCTAACCATAAGGTCAGCAGTTTGAATCCACCAGCTGCTCCTTGGAAACCCTATGGGGCAGTTCTACTTTGTCCTATAGGGTCACTAGGAGTCGGAAATGACTCTGTGGCAATGGGTTGAGGACTTGAGTAGACCTCTGTAACTGCACCTGGAATACCAGAATCTCCTCACTGACTGGTCTTTCACCATTTTCAGACAGGAAACAGCTAAGGATTTGAACCATGTGTTAATTCATCTATGCATCCCCACTGCCATTACATGGTTGTCCCTAAACAAATGTTTGCGGAATTAATGAAATTATTATATTGTGAAATTTTAATGCTCAGAACAGATTGTTCCTGGTAAAATAAATACCACTTCTATTATCTTTCTATAGAAATCCCTCTGCATTGACTCCTAGCTTTTAGATAGGTCTGTCCTACCTAGTATCAGCTTTATAAGGAGCAGTGCTTTCCATACAGGTCACTCTCCCTTCTTCCCCCACTCTATCCCCAAAGTCCATTTACTCACTTTTTAAAAATTCTGTAATTTAGTATTTCATTTTCTTGACTTAAATAGAATCTGAAAATATTCCTGGAAGAGAAAACATGTGGAGCCATATGAAACGTTTATATCTTAATCTGAAGTCATACATGGGAACTTTTCCTAAAAACAGGGCTTGTATCTGGAAGAAGAATGAGAATTCTATTACCTGTGTAGTGACAGGGTGGGGACATAAAGGACAAAGTGAGAACCCAGGGAAACAAAGACAACTTGTTCCTGCTACTCAGTTTTGTCTCAGGATGGTCATGTCCGGTGATGTCCATTTCCAGCAGAGGCATTTTTCCCCGCTTATCCTCTGGCTGCTGGTCCTTCCGATTTTAGTACCTGAGACGCTAAGGAGGTCTTTTCCTCTTCTTTGCCAACTCAGCAGTAGAGCAGCTGCATTCAGTACACTGTCAGGCTGTTTCTCAGTATGCGCTCAGTTGCTAAGCAGGTGTGTTCTCCCTGGATACACCTTTTAAAGGTGATTATGTCATCAGTCAACAGTGCCCAAGGAAATGGAAGGAAGGGGAAAAAAGAGGCTAATTGGTCCAAAGGGCCCTCACTGCTCTTGCTACCCTGGCTTGATGCCATCTGTTGCTTAGTGTGACCTTTCTCTACTCTTGGTAGAATTATGTTCTCCAAGGAGCTTCATTTGAGACAAATTGAGTAGAGGGAGGATGGGAGCTAAAGTAGACTAATAATTGCTCTCCTGCTTCCCCCATAGACATAGGCAGACATTGGAACTCGGAGATTGGCATTAGTCACCGTGCCCATGATTCTGGGTGGTCTGAGAAGTTTGCCTCGATGCTTGGCCCTCTCCTGTTTGGACCATCATGAAGGCAGCACTAAAGAGTACATCACATGCTGTTTCTCAACACCCACTTGGCTGTTCTGGTTATTAAAAGTACTTGATAAACCTCTGACCTTTCAGATACTGTTCTTTCCGATGCTTGTGCTCTCCCTTGTGAATTATTTCTATGTGTTTTCTGCCTGATTACTGAACTGGTTCTGCTTGATTTCCTTGTTCACGCTTTCATTTGGTAACACCTCATTTTACAGCCCACTAACTTTGTTGAAAATAAATTCACTTTACTTGTGTGGTTAGTATTACTCATTTGATGACATAAGTACCATATTAGGGAGCAGTGAATGGATAGTAAGTGCCACGCAATTACAAGGTAAATATACTATGGGTTTATTTTATCCTCTAAGCCCAACACAGGGTGACATAGTAATTACTTTTAGACCTATTAAGAGTATTTACCACATAATCTGTAGGGAGATTAATTATGTAGTTACCACTTGCCACACACTTTCCAAGATTATACCTCTTTTAGGATTATGTGTTCTTGGATAAATCTCTTATGCTGAATTGCAGTAGCCATTATGAATGTGTTTTGGGAATGAAATAAGCCTAGAGTACACCTAAAAACATTTTGTGGTGGGGTGGGGAGACACCCAAATTCTAAATTCAAACTAACCCTCTTATTTTTGCTTTGCCCATGCATTCAATAGGATGGAGTAGGAGAGGTATGGGAGAAACAGCATGTGCCCCCTCAGAGTTCAGTTCTCTTTGACAAAAATAAGTCTTAGAACACAGGATTGAATTGGTGCCAGAAAACATACGTTATCGACCTACCATGCCTGCATATGCAGGACCACAGACCTGCATATCTCATAACAAAAATTCTCTCACAACGATTGTGTATTCTCAACCAACGTTGCCAGTGTTCTCTCAAACTAAATGATTTGTGCCAACATTAAAATTTATTGTTGTGAGCGCTGGTCTTCTCTCCTTTAACTCACAGACCTTTGCGTTATCTTCTTTCCCTAGAATGTCCTCTGTGAATGCATGTGCCCAGGTCATATATAAGGAGAGCAGGTCACCCATATTTTGTCATTGTGTGTGGGTCTCATGTCCTCCCTTGAATAACAATAAAGATTTTTTTAAAAAGTACATTGCAGGTAAATATGACTTCCTAAAACAAGTAAATTAAAGAGTTGTCTTTCTTCACTAGAAAAAAAATTATTTTCTTTGCAAAATTGTTCTCTTCAAGATTCTACTAAGTGCTGAACTACTTAATGAAGTCGAGATATTGGACTAGCATCACTTTGATGTACAGAAGGCATTTTAGAGATATAATTATTGTGTGAAGGGGAGTACAACTTGTAGTCAGTTACATATGTCATTTTCTCTGTGCAGTAGTTCCAAAGTTCCAATAGCCTTTCATTTTGTCTCCCAGGGTGGCTCTTTGGCTCTGTGCCGACGTTGGCCATTTAGAATTTCTCTTTTGTTTTTCAGGCATTGAGAATGCCAGCGACATTGCTTTGTACTCGGGCTTGGGCGCTGCCGTCGTGGCCGTTGCTGTCCTGGTCATTGGCGTCACCCTTTATAGACGGAGCCAGAGTGACTATGGCGTGGACGTCATTGACTCTTCTGCATTGACAGGTGGCTTCCAGACCTTCAACTTCAAAACAGTCCATCAAGGTCAGCGGCATAGGTCCCCCTCCACAGCTCATCCTCAGTGCCATAGACTACACTCACACAGGACCCCTAGTGCTCACCTTGGCCCTGTGTGAAGGTAGCTCCTGGCATTGGGAGTAGCTGCCAAGTCATCTTCATACATTAGGAGACCAGGCTCAAAGAAGCGGACTGCTTAAGCACTTAGCAACGGCAAGGACAAGTGGAGCTCAATTCGCCACTAATAACATTTTCTGCCCTTGATATGTATAGAGCTTAGTCATTTTATCTTAGATTATACGACCTTCTGTCTTAAGAAGCCCACTTTGAGGGTGTATATTTCATTTAGTTAACCAAAATAGAGATCATCCAAGGTTGGAGACCAGCTACTATACCACAACCACCCAGGTATATATTTAGTACACTATATATTCCAAAAAAAAAAAAAAAAACCTGTTGCCCTCAAGTTGATTCCAATGCATGATGACTCTGTAGGACAGACTAGAACTGCCACATAAAGTTTCCAAGGGGCAGCTGGTGGATTCGAACTGCCAACATTTTGGTCAGCAGTCGAGCTCTTAACCACTGTGCCACCAGGGCTCCGTATTAAATATTAAACCAAAAATCCATTGCTGTCAAGTCGATTCCAACTCACAGCAACCCAGTAGGAGAGAGTAGAACTGCCCCATAGGGTTTCCAAGGAGCACCTGGTGGATTCAAACTGCAGACCTTTTGGTTGGCAGCCATAGCTCTTAACCACCATACCATCAGGGTTTCCCACTATATATTAGTTGAGGTTATTTTTGTAACTTCTATTTTAAATGTTATGAAGGAACCCTGGTGGTACAGTGGCTAAAGTGCTCAGGTGCTAGCCGAAATGTCGGTGGTTTGAACCCACTAGCCGCTCCTCGGAAGAAAGATGGGGCAGTCTGGTTCTGTAAAGATTGACAGTCTTGGAAATCTTATGGGGCGGTTCTACTCTGTCCTGTAGGGTCTCTTTGTCTCTATGAGTCAGAATTTACTTGATGGCAATGGGTTTTTTTTTTTTATTTTATTTTAAATGTTAAAGGAATTTAGAAGACATGATAGGTCGGTTAGCCAGGAGGAAAAAATGAAATTCCCAGCCTAAATGATTCTCAGCTGTTGCCAAATCTAAGCAATCTTTTGTTGTTGAGGAAGGAAAATCTGTCCTGTCACACTACAGTAATACTCATTTTCAAAACAGTCTTTTAATTCTCTTCTACGAACCAAATCTATTCCTGATCACGAGGTGGGGATGAGACATACACGTCTTTTCATTTCAGAAAAAAATGAAGCTGCCTCTCTTCAGGGCATGAAGCTTTCTACCTTGGTTCTCATCATCGATATTGTCGCCTTTAGTTCTGTTTATCGTGTGTCAATAGTGCCCGTAGCACACTACAAGAAGAGGTCTCCCTGCTCAGCAGTGCTTGAGCTGACAGGGTTCACAAGTGGAAACCCAAGCATGCTAGAAAAACAAACTGGGAGATGGATGGAAAAGACCAGTGTTTTAGGCCTTGCCACTTCAGAGAATCTCAGTGTGAGGCGTCTGCTCTGCCCCAGATAGGAACATTCCACATGTATTTGAATATATAGTTCAGTATGTATGATTTAATTAGGAATAAATCCAAAGGAACTAATTTTTATACTACATAAGAAACTAGAACTATATTCCCATGAGATAATAAGACATCCATATCTTAGACCATAACACTTAAAAATAGAGGAAATAGAGGCATGTGAGATGCAGTTTTGTGAATAGATCCAGGTGTTTTGAAATCATCTTGATTTGGGGCCAAAATTAATATATGACCTAGTTAATTACCCTCTCTGAGTTTCAATTTTTACATCTATGAAATGGGGATACCAACACCCACCTCACAGGGGTCTTGTGAGGATGAAATTACCTGGAATAACATGGGCAAGCCATTGGCATATTGATGGTGCTCAATAAACATAGCGAATATAGTTCTAAAGGGGATTGTTTCTTCTTATCTTAGCACAGGATACCCGTGTGTAACACAGAGAACTAGGTAGGAGGTGAGGGTGATGGTTTCCTAACCTAAATATGTTTGGGGAACACTGATTTTCATAAGGTTAAACGGATCTCTTTACTTGAGGGCTTCTCAAAACTTACATGCGTTGTGAATCACTAAGAGAATATGTAGTCTTTCAAACTTACTTGACCATTTTTTTTTTTTTTTTAATTTTGGCCAAGAATCTCAAAACATCAATGATCTAAGGAAAAATCTTTTGGTAAATGCTACTCTACCCTGTATTCATTGTGAGGATACAACTCCCATTGATGGTCACATGATTTTACCTCCACTGTATTAGATTTCCGTTCTTGAGCAATGCAACGGTGCACCAGGACAGTGAACACTGAGACTTTTAAATAGAATATCATACTTAGAGAAAATTCAGGGAATTTAAAAAGTACTTCCAAAGAGAAGCTTGAAGTGACTTGATGAACTGCCCCTGATCAGACTTGAAGCAAGTTGACAGTCAACTTTCTTCAATTGCAGACTCTATCGTATGTAAATACTTGTATAATCAGACATCTTGCATTTAAGTGCTGTCTGACTCTAGGAAATGTTTTTGCTTCTTTGCTTCACATAAGCTAAGGGGGGCTTTTAAGAATAGGCAAAAATTACATTTTAGAAGGTGAGGGCTTAAGATAAATTAGGAGACTCAAAGATAAGATTTTTCAGGTCTCAGTGGAAACTCATGTGCCATAAACTCTTTTAGGATGTGGGCTGGTTCTTGAATCGCACTCCTTGCCCGGGAAGACCATGAACAAGAGTGAGGCTGTAACCTGCAGGACTCAATACACTTCTATTAAAAAGCACAGTTCCTTGATTGTGCTTATGTCTTGGCTCAACAGCCTCAGACATGAAAAATGCATCATCAAGGAGCCTTTAGATCTACAGCGTTATTTCATCTCATTTGGAACCTTGTCTTCTGTGATTATGCATTCTTAGAGCATCAGAATAAGAGGTGGGAAAAGCCAGGTTATAGACTTTCTGGTGGCATGGCTACAAATTATGAAAATAGAAAAACAATAGAGGCTAATACAATATGGCTTAGAATTGCAACATTTTCAGAAATACACTTTAAACATTTTTGTCAGGCCCCAAAGGAAAATTGTTTAATATGGTTTGCATTTCAATCTGAGATGTCACATTGACGGACTGATATGGGTGGGAGGTTTGGGACTGAGGGTTATTTTGTTATTTACTAATAAATGAGATTACTTCATAACAAGAAAATATCACAGCATTTCTTTTTAATATTTGACTTTGAAAATATTGGTGAGCCCCAACAAATGACAAAGTCCAATTTCTCATGTTTTTGTAAAGATTTTTTTTTTTTTTCATTTGTTTGGTGTCAGAAAGGAAGCCATTCTAAGCTGTTCCGCACGTAGACTCCGAGTCCCTCAAAACCCCCAAGTGACATCCTTTCCCTCTCAGAGTGACATGTGTATTATTAGAGCAAATTGGCCACTCAGACGTGGAGCGGTTCATGAAGTTTCCTGACTCTTTCACTCTAAGGACACATCATCTCCTCCTCCGGTTCTAGAAACCACCCAGAGTGCCGCGTGAAACATGTTGAAATCCATGCAGCCTCGGTTATAAACAGCACTACCTACTCACCATGCTGTGTCATCTCTTGCCATTTAAAATGAACAGATGTTATTTTTGTTCCAGACTGCATTGCAAAATATCTTTTTTTTTTTTTAACACTTTTTTAGCTTCTCTTTGCCAGCTAAAATAATCACATAAACAATGATACCTGAGGTAGTTGCCTGAAGGAGTGCCAGAAAAACTTGTTTTGAAAAGATAGCATATGAGGAACTCTGGGAAATTAACGATTCTGTCAGTGGCATTCAGAGAATCCAAGGCCATAGTCACTAGTGACCAGGCTGTGACAGCTACTTTAGATATGCAGGGTGGGCCTGAAGAGCTAGCTCTGAGTGGAACAGCCGACAACCACATAGATTGTGGTGTAGTTAGTAGAGGCAGATGTAAAAGGGGTAACAGACGTGCCTTACAGTTTCTGAGTAACAGATCCATTTTTTTTTTAAAACCAGGTAACTCCCTGCTCCTGAACTCCTCCATGCAACCAGACCTGACAGTGAGTCGGACATACAGTGGGCCCATCTGCCTGCAGGACCCTCTGGACAAGGAACTCATGACAGAGTCTTCTCTCTTTAACCCTTTGTCGGACATCAAAGTCAAAGTCCAGAGCTCATTCATGGTTTCCCTGGGAGTGTCTGAAAGAGCCGAGTACCATGGCAAGAATCATTCCGGAACTTTTCCCCATGGAAACAACCGTAGCTTTAGTACAATGCATCCCAGAAATAGAACGCCATACATCCAAAATCTGTCATCACTTCCCACAAGGACAGAACTAAGGACAACTGGTGTTTTTGGCCATTTAGGGGGGCGCTTAGTAATGCCAAATACAGGTGAGTGACAAGTGTGTATGTGTGTATTTTTCTTGCATTTGTGTAAACATTTTATATTTGCATGATCACGTCCCATCAGACCCGTGTTGTGATGTTGACTTACCCCTTGTCAGAGCTGCAAACACCATGGCTCCATCAGTCTATTTGATTTACACAGCAAACCAGAACCAACCCTGAGATTAGATTTTTGCAATCTTCATCTCAGAATGGCTTGAATACTCCATTTGATGCCCAGGTAGAGTTGATAGCCATATTTGCTTAAAAGGTCTGGGTAGCTCCCCAAGGCTTAAACCCTTTGGAAATATATTTCCAATGACATGATAAGCAAGCATTGAAAACATTCTCTGACATAGCCCAAGGCCAGGACTGCCAAGTGCCATATTTACCCAAGCATGATTTAGGCACTAGTAGATAATTTAGTGAAATGACACTCAGAGTGTACTTTCATCAGTAACTGACCTACTAACCACTGTCAGTGTCCATAGACATGGCTATAATTCTATAAGGATAAGGATTTAAACTTCAGTGTCAGGGCTATGTCACAAGCACAAGTAGTTCTTCACGTTTGTTTTTCCCCCCTCCTTTTGGTTAGGAGGGAGAAGCAGAGGAAGAAGATTTTCTTGATGCTTTGGCAGGATAGTTAAGATGTCCAGAGCAGATCATTTTTAAAATGACTATCTATGGATTAGTCTTTAGAGTTCCATCTGAGACCTAACTGGATGATAGAAGGAGTCAATATCTTCCTTGATTTCAGAGCAATGAGAATTAGATCGTGAGCTGAGTCATCATTCTGTTCACTGCTAAGAGGAAAAAGAGTCCACGAGGTTAGCACCAAGTCATGGTCTTTAGGGCCATATTCCTTGGCAGATTTTCTCTAGGGTGAAGCTAATGAACCTCTCCAAATCAAACATTTTATCTTATAAAATTAAATATGTGGCTAAGACTAGTCTAATGCTACTATTCCAAGTAGCTGATCCACCTAGTAGCTTGGTGATTTGAGACTGAAATTGATTTCAAGCTGATGAATGTTTTCTTGTTCTAGATCAATCACTTCCTTACAAACTCCATTTCAGGCAAATATCCCTCTCAATACAGCCCTAACAATGATGTAGTTTTCTAACTTACCAATTCTCTAAATCTTCCTCAGTCATTGTTTTAGGACATGGTAGAGATCTTCATTTAAATATGTCTGAGGGTCTATGTGCGATGCAGTCCTCCTTGGTGATAACTAGCAGACAAATATAGGAGACTCGTTTCAAAACGAGTCAGTCAGCCATACTTACCAAGTACCTTCTTGTGTAAGAATCCATACACAAGGAGCATGGGTTCTGGAAAAAGAAAAGTAAAAGATATCTCCTGCCCTGTCAAACAGAACAGGATATATACACCAGAATTCTAAAAGATGTACATTGAGTTATTATGCATTTATCTCATCCTCGCTTTGTGGCTCAGTTCCGGGCACTGAGGAGATTCTGAATAGTTATTGGATGAATGAGTCAATCGACGCTCATCTCTCTTCTCATCCTCATTTACACACATGCGGAGGAGTGCCAAGACCAACCCATTCATTGGCTATGTTTGTTTAATGTTAATCAAAGAAAGTGATAAGAAGAATCGTGATGGACCAGAGGTGCTCCTTCCTTCCCTCTGGCTTGAGAAGCACTCATGCTGAAAACAAAAGGCTGTGAAGGTTTTGTTAGTGATTACCAAACACTTCCTCTGTGGAAGGAGCATCTTCCAAGCTTTTAACAAGGAGCCCTGGACAAGATTGAAGCTGTTCACTGGGAATGTGTTTGAGGACAAATAAGTGTGGGGAATTGAAACATGTGCTCTGTTATTTGCAGGACATAAATGCAAAATATGCCCTTGGGAGCTAATGTACAAAGAAAGCCAGGCACAGAAATTAGATCATTCTAATACCATCCATGGAAAATTGTCATATGGTGTCTGGCAGTGATTTCCTAAAAAGATGGGGGTGTTCCCCACAATTTAGAGATTGTTTGTTATGCAAAGTATGAAATCTGAAACTTAGACAGGTGGTTCTGTTGTCATATCAAATAAAAGGCTGTCAGGGTAGCAGGTGTAGTTTGGGGAAGTATATTTTTCTCTCATCAGAGATAACTAGTGAATGACGTATTGAAAATGGATGCTTCTTTAGGGGACCGTAGGCATGAAACTCTCCCACAGTGCCTCTCATTCTTCATAAAATATAACTTACTGCCACCGTTACCACCCTCACAACCCTTGCCTCTGTGTTGGGCCGTCTTCCGTCTCTACACACAATTTGCATGTTTGGGTAGGAAGAGGGAAGTATATCCAAAGGATAATGATACAATTTCTGATTGAAGGAAAGAAGAAATAATTTAAAGCTTCAATGATCCCATTGATTCAGGTTGAATTTGGGAGTATTATGAAATATGTTTCAATCTAAACATAGGGAATTAAGCTGACTTGAAAGAAATGAGATGTGACCTGCTCTACAAACAGCCCTTTCTCAAACGTCCACACACATATTTCTTCTGATTTGATCTGGTTGTTGACCATCAGGCCCTGATGTCTCAGAACATGGTGTTTTCACTAAGAATTTTGAATCCTATCCATTCATTCATTTATTCATGATATATTTATTGAGTGCCTACTTTGTGCCAGGCATTGTGCTAAGTGTTATTGATGTAAACGGCACTATTGTTTGATGGTAGTCTCCCATGCTTCTATATCTGAAGAATAGGGACTGAATGTCTCTGTTATAACAGCCTAAAAGGAGAGGCAGCAGAGAGGAAGTACTATGTCAAACTAAGAGTGCAGACAAAATGTCTAGGGTATGTTTTCAGTCTGGCGTCCAAACACACTGACTATCCTGTGCATTACAACTTCTGCTCAACATCAGGGCAGGATATTATATAGAGGCCACTTCATCTGGCAGCCACATTTAAGGAAGAATAGGAAATGGAAGGAGGCGCTTAAAAGGAGGCCCCTAAGTATGGCAATTACAGTTCTCCTATATTGACATTAAGGTCCAGAAGATAAATGGATCTCCTGGCTGAAAGGCTGTAAGCAGGATTTAAATGTGCCTCATTCTTAGTGCTAGTGAAAGATTCTGATGATAACTAGCATGTTACTTAATAATGCTCATAAATGTGAATCACAAAGAACTTGTTTTGCAATGAGTCTTGGAGTCCTTGACTCAATAGCAGCTAACGGGAACATAGAAGGATATCAATAAAGCCTGCCATCTCTAGAGTTAAATTATCATCAGCAACCCAAAAGACTTCTGTGCAATTACATTAGCTCTAATGAAAGAATGGGTGAGAGCCGCATTATTCAAAGAACAGGAAGATGCCCTGAGATTTTATTTCCTAAAGATCTTACTGTGTCTCTATTTTATTTCTTCTTATAAAGGGGAAGCTACATTAAAGAGAATCCCTGCCCTCTCTAGACTTTCTCTCTTGGTCAAAGTGAAATATTTACTTCACAGCATTCACGAGGAGAGAGGGACATTTTAAACGCAGCGTGATGTGGTTCCTGTGCCTGCCCTCGCTGCATTGTATGATTTTACTCAAATAAGGCTATTGGGTTTTATTCAGTTTGACACTGGCATGAATATGGTTAAGTTACCTCTAACTTTAGCCCTTTCTAGCCTCTGTTTGCAAATTTAGGACCAACCACGTGCTACACAACCATCTGTTAAACTCCTCAGCTTCTTAGATGCTCTTTTTTTTAGTCTCCTGGACAAAATGCAGTACTGCATTGAGCACTTTGCTACAGTTACTCCCAGATACACAATTCATAAAACTATTTCATCCCAGGTTCTAGCAAAGTGTTAGATGGCTCACCCATCTTCTCAGGTATTTTTTCCAGAAATGAATGGATAGAGACAAGATAGAGAATTAAACTTTCAAAATCTGAAGCCGACTAACTAATGCACTGATAAACTCAGAAACTCTTACATCCTCAGCTATGTTTGAAAGTGCCTGGTTTAGAACACACAGTCCTTTAAAAGATCTAACAAACGCTGGAACAACTTAAAATAAAATAAAATAAAACTAATTTGGACACTCAGTTAATTAATATACTCCCTTTATGTCACTATTATAGTCACTGTTAGATATAAACTTTCCAAGGATTGGGATTTCATGAACTGCTGTGAGAAGGTCCTTCTTGTGAGCACCCATAATACTTTGAGGTGCTTCAAGATATTTGGAAAATTCATGAATAACCTCTTGGATTTTTCTGTTTTAGGGGTGAGTTTACTCATACCACATGGCGCCATCCCTGAGGAGAATTCTTGGGAGATTTATATGTCCATCAACCAAGGTGAACCCAGGTAAGAGAAGAATGACATATTAATGACATCCTAAATATGGAATGGAACCTCTGCAGAAAATTGGAAGTTAATAAGATAATGAGACACAGAGTGTATAGGTGAAATAGAGACTGACTTGACTACACAGAGGGGAAGAACAGTCCCAAAACGATTGGCTAGCATGGAAACATGCATGTTGTTTTTTGCTATTGTTGTTGTTGTGTGCTGTCGAGTCAACTCCAGCTCCTAGTGACCCTATAAATCCATTGTCATCGATTCCTACTCATAGTGACCCTGTAGGACAGAGTAGAACTGCCCCATAGGGTTTCCAAGGGTGTAATCTTTGTGGAAGATGACTGCCATATCTTTCTCCCGAGGAGCAGCTGGTGGGTTCAAACTACCAATCTTTTGGTTAGCAGCTGAGTGCTTTAAGCACTGCACCACCAGGGCTCCTTAAACCCTATAGGACAGAGTAGAACTGCCCCATAGGGTTTCCTAGGCTGAAATCTTTATGGGAGCAGATCACCAGGCCTTTTTTCCCACAGAGCAGCTGGTGGGTTCGAACCCCCAACCTTTGTCATTAGCAGCCGAGTGCTTAACCATTGCACCACCAGGGCTCCTGAAAATATGCATAGCTCCATATTTTTAGGTCCCTGATCTATGTCCCTGGAATCTAAACAGCCAACATCAACATAGAACAGTGAATTTGTAGGCAAATGATAAGCAGGGCCTCTCCATAAACGTTAACAGCTTCCTATATACTTCCCCTCAAAAGGAAAAAATAAAATCATCCCTGGGAGCACTTGTGATGCTAGGCATTACGCAAATATACAGACTGATGACCTGTGGCTCTTTTAGGTCAGCAGAAAACCCGTTATAGACTAAAAGACATTTCCTAGGCAATTTCCCTCAATGTAAAAATATCATCTAAGCTTCAGTAGCTTTCAGGTCTGATAAAATCCAATAGCGTTAAATTCAGTTACATGATCAATTACAAATCTTGCCACATACTCTTTTAATGAAAGTAAGTTGATTGTTTTCCTAGTGCAACTTTAGCATTTGTGGAAACATTGCCTTCCTCTACACAAGATAAACCAAACTCCTCTTTGGAAAGCAATTTTTCTCATAAACTGGATAGATACCTCTGGCATTTTTAGTCATAGCATTTTGGTTATCTTAGAATAGTTTTTTTGTTGTTGGCAAAAAACACATGAAGGAAACACACTGAAAGGGAAAACAGCCAGAGAAGCAGATAGTTTTAACCGATTTGATAGCTATTTCTATAAAAGAATTTGTTGGTGCCCAATGGTTTTAACTTTCTGCTCTGCAGATCTTGAGAGTAGTGGAAAGAAAGGCTCTGCCAGCCGGTTGTTGGTGAAACTCTGGGGATATCTCTCTGTAGACTGTATCACGTTGGGTTCTCATGCCATTTCCTTAGTCCAGCAAAGCTAGACTCTTTACGTGCGCAACTGAAAAGGTGTGTTGTCTACATATCTCCATTTGGCAAATGAAAAAAACTGAGGCTCAGAGAGGTTTGAAGCATTTATTCAAAATATCAGATAAGTCAGGTAAACAGACCTAAAAACAGAGTTCCCTGAGGGACAGTCACCTCCTTTTATCCCTGTGGTTGATTTACATAGGAAACTATAACTGTTTAAAATTAAGTTCATGGTCAATTGAGTGTACACTTTTAAACACATCATCCTGCAAAATTCCTGTCACAGCATCTTGCGAATGCTACCTTGGCATCCTCCTTTGAAATCCTACATTCAGTTCCTTCCTCTCAAACCCGTCACCATTATCTTCTACCTCATGTTGTGGAAACCAACCTAGGGCTATTTCCCATTTTCACAGACATCTAATTTACAACTTACCCCAATCTCTGTCTCTTACTAGACTCTCCTTCTTAGAAGGTCAGTGCTAGAATATGCAAAAGGCATCAAACATATGAGGACTTAAATAAAATGACTCAAAACATAGCAAAGTAATGATCATTTGACATGCAGTAATTGTAAAGTAGGAAAGAGAAATACCCAAGACCTCAGCAAAGTCCACAGACCTCAAAAGATAGGTTTGACCAGATGTGGTCATGCCCTGGACCATCCCTAGCTTTGCATGTCCCATGTTAACCGATTCAATTTATTCATCTGTATCTAAGATGTGAGTTCACTACTGCTGTCTAGAAATGTGGAAGGAGACAGGAGCAGTTTATCTAAGGTTTTAGACCTGTGAGGTGTACATTTTCCTACATATTAGACTGAGGTTAAAATACAATTGGAGGAAGCACACATTCTTTTTCACATTGTCGGAATCTTCCCAGATGCTCTTATCTCCTAAGAAAATGACCAATTCTTGGGCTATAGGCCATTTAGTCTTCTTTGGCAATCCTCTCTCCCTTTTGAGTAGCTCTCAACTACTTACAAAAGCATTAAAAATAGCAAATGTCTTTCTGCTACTTTTCTTTTTCTTTTTTTCACCCCGGGGTGATTTTTTTTCCATCTCCACCAGGAAGCTGCTTGGATTTGAGTTTTTCAGCTTTTAATCCTATGATTAATTAGGAAAAGACAATTTATATAGCTATTTAAAGTCATCCTTTCTTTATAATGTCACTTGAAAATCCATTTTCATTCTATACTGTTCTGCCATTTTGTACTTGTGCTCAGGATAAGGCCCAATTTCTTCCAAGTCCTCAGAGCTGGAACAGCACCACTGAGTGTCTTTCATCTTTGCCTCTGAGGCCATTGGAGTTTCCTCCTTTTAGTTCACAGGTGTGAGAACTGGATTTATTGACTCTCCAACACCTCCGTGCACACAGAATATGGCAGGCGCTCCCAAACAACATCTTCATGCTTTATTTAAATTGAGGACTGTTCCATTTTCCCTTGGATGATACATTCCTGTTACCCGTTTCTAAGTTACCTCCCTGGTGTAGTGGAGTGATGATTTAGTGGAACTGTAACAGATATCATTGATCCAAATTCTGTACCAGAGTCCCAGGGACATGACAGTATGTCATGAATCAAAGACTCAAAACAACCCCCTGTATTCAAATAGTTTCAGATGCTTATACTTTGATTTTTTGGTAAGCTTAATGTGAAGTTGTTCAATGTCAGAACTGATTGTACCAGGTCTCTCAAGGGATCATGCTTGCATTCCTGGTAAGCCTGCAAGAGAACAGTCTGTACTTTAAGGGAAAGGATGTCACTTTCCTTCCTCAAAATTCCTTTCTCTGTCTACATTTTCAGACTTGAACGACCATCGTAATGAGTCTTCCCAACTTCCTCCAACGGTCTAGATTATAATGTTTAGGAAATTATCTCTGCTGACTTTTGTTTTTTGTATCTATATATCTATCTATATATAGATAGATAGATAGATATATACATTAAATTGCTGAAACAGGGCTTGCGTCCTTGGAAAAGTAATAATTGCTCACCTCTGTATGGTATAATTTATGAAATATCTTCACACACATTTGACTGATTTACTCTCCACAATAACACTTGAGGAAGAGGATTTTATACCAGTTGTGGAGATGAGGGGAAACACACACACACATACACACACACACACGCGCGCGCGCACTAAAAAAATCAATCGGCTAAGCTACTTTTCCAAGGCCAGGTTACTTAATAACAGAACTGGAACTTGAACTCAGGATATCTGACTCTAATTCCAATGCTCATGTACTAAACCATCCCACATCTCCTTGAGGTAGGAGGCTTTAAGAGAACAACTTTCTGAAGTTGTGCTGCAAATCTTGGCCTCTATAAAAAGACATCTTCCAGAATAGCACTGGAAGCCTCTGAGAGTTAGGCAGGGCAGGGTCTGAGGCCTGTTGAGAATTTCCTAAAAGTCTCTAGGGGTAAATTGCTGTTGTTACACATTACAGAACTGAGAGAAGAAAGGCTGGAAACAAGTGTTACTCCAGTGCTGAATCTTAGCAAACACCATGTTAGGAAACATTTGACCTCAGTGGCTAAGAATGTGGGCTCAGGCTCAGAGGCTCTGGGTTCACTACTATTCATGTGACCTTACCCATTGCTGTTGAGTCTATTCTGACTCCTTGTGACCCTATAGGACAGATTAAAACTGCCCCACAAGGTTTCCAAGGCTGTAAATCTTTACGGAAGCAGACTGCCACATCTTTCTCAAACAGAGTAGCTAGTGGCCAAGCTTTCTGTTAGCAGCTGAGCACTTTAACCATGGCACCACCAAGGCTCCTTTCATGTGACCTTAGGGAAGTTAATTAAACTCTTTGTGCCTTTGTTTCTTCATTTGAAAAACAATAGTAGGTACTTACCTCCTACCTTATAAGAATGCTGGGGGGTTGCATGAGATACAATACAGTGAACACAACAGTCTCAAAAATGATAAAATAAGAAAGCCTAATTGATACATTTATATTTTATAAAGCATTTTACCTACAGTATATCTTCTAATTTTTACACTAATCCTGCATGGTAAATAAATGATAATAACATAATTCCAATTTTATAAACTTGAAAATTAAGACCAAGAAAGGTTTGTGGGTTTGCCTTATGTTTTACAAGTAGGTGGTGGCAGAACTGGGTACCAAAGCAAGATGTTTACCTAACAATACATTCTTCAGGCTGCATCACATCACCTCCCCGACCCCAGCTCTTTAAGAAATAATTAGGCATACTATTCTCAAGTTCAGTAAGACTTGCTCATAGACTGCTTGATGAGAGACAGGGCTCTCATCAAAACAATGGAAAATATAGAGGGTCCTTACTCCATTCTAGGGACAGGCATGGACAGAGAAGGGTGTGAATGGCTTCCTGGAGATGTCATTTGAGCTGAGTCTTAAAAGGTGAGTAGGAATGAGCCAGACAAAGAACGGTATAAGGGCTATAACTCAATGATTTCCAGCCTCCAGTACAACTCTCTCCAGTGGGTTTCTATAGGGTTGTGCTGGGGAAGTCTTCAAGGGTGGCTAACCCAAAAAAAAAAGGAAAAGTAAACCAAACCTGTTGCCATTGAGTCGATTTCAACTCATA